TACACGTGTCCTATGCCTTGCAAGTGTTACTACTGTCATCAACACCATATACCCCTGGTGTTGATCCTTCTGGCTCCTGTTTCTCTGCAACCCACGGGCACCAGGTTCTCTAGTGACTGGCTTTCAGTGCCTTTTTCACAGATGCCTGGCTCTCTCTCTCTCTTGGGTGCCTAACTCTACACTCCCTTACCTGCACCCCTCTGACATTAGGAGTGCTGCACCTCTCTGGCACTGTAGGCTTGCCCAACCCTGTACCTGCACCCTTCTGGTGCTCTGGGCTTATTGAGTCCTTCTGGCTGTGCCCTCCTGGTGCTCTGGGCTCACTGCACCCTTCTGGCCATGCCCCCCTGGAGCTCTGCCTGACACTGGGCTCTACCAAATCATATGCCCTAGGTCACGCATCGAGTAGGTGCTGCAAGTACCACTCTGCCCCCAAGGTCAGGGCTCCCCAACTCACCTACCATGACTTGTTGGTAAATGAAAAGGAGGGAGTTCAGTGGTGTTCTCTTCCCATGTAGACCTGAGGACAGGGCACTCACAGGTGCGCTACGATGTTCCTCGGGGCTCTGCCTCCCCTACATCCTGTCCACTCGCCAACCACTCAGGTATTCTGGTCTTGACAATGTACATTGGCCCCTTGACTGTGGGGTCCAGCATTGAGTTAAATCATCCGGCCCACCACCAGGATGTTGGTAAACCTGGGGCCTCAGTCCCTGGTCTGAAGGGGCTGAGCCACAGGCATCTGAAGTCCTCCAACTGGATATTTTAAGGTTGAGGGTCTGGGGATTGCCTGTCCGCAGTCTGGTGCCAGGCACTGCTCCCCCTGTTCTGCTCCAGGGCAGTGCTGGCAATGCTATCACAGCCAATACCTGGAGCCTCTGCCTGGCCAGCATGCTCCCAGCTGGCTTCCTCTCCCCTCCTGCTGGTTTTTAGTACAGTTTTTAAATTTCCTGCGGTGGCGGCATTAGCTGCTGCAATCAGCCAGCCACTGCCCTGCCTGGGAAGCAGCCGCTTGAAGAGCTGGCAAAATGCTGACTCGCACAGCTCCTGCTCTGCCCCTGCCCATCCAGATAGCGAGTTTCCTGGGGTATGGTGCGCTCTCTCTCCCTCTCTGGGAACACCAGGGGTTGCCCCCGGCACCCTTGGGGGCTTCTTGCTGCCACACCCTCTCTCTCCAGGCACTAATGAAACCTCCAAACCTCCCTTTCTAGCCTCATCCCAATCCTCCAGGGTGAACACAAACACAAGCCCCTAATCTTTAACTTAAATACTAGCAACAGCAACAGTTTAAGTTGGAAGTTTAAGGGGACAAACTTCCACTCAGAGTAACATGCCCCTATTCTAGGTACCTGGGAGACTTTCTATAGCCATGTAGCACCGAGAAAGCAGAGCAGGCAGTACTGGGAGAGCTAGGCAGGCAGCACCAGGTCTCAAGTAGCTGCCAGGCAGGAGCTCTTTCCCTGTTAGTTGCCAGGGAGAGAGTATGTGTCTGCTAGCTGCAGGCTGGGCTTATATATCCCAGAACCCCACCTCCTGCCAGTCAGGTGATGTCAGCAGGTGTGGCCCATTATTCCCTTAGGCTGTTACCTCAGCAACCTGCAGCTAGGGAGCTCTGTTTGGCCTGCAGAGCTCCCTGGCCAGGTTTCTTCAGCCTTAAGGAGCCACATATTCGTGCCCTGCTACAGTCTTATACTGTTCCCAGAGTCTCTGTTTCTTATGAAATTTCTATATCATGAGAAAAAACAGAAAACATTATACCAGAGTATTTCAAATGGTATCTTAAGAAAAAGCCACTTTCTTGATGACATAAAAAGCAGGAACATTTTTACTTTTTATAGAAAATGTCATGTTTTACATATCTAATGGACACCTATTTATGAAGGTGCAAGGTCAAGGTAAATTAAACCCAATAAAATGTTTAGCAAAAAGCTTTACACTAACTTTAAGGCAAACTTTTGTTTCTGGAAAATGAGTAACATATAAGTATATATGCACTTCCTGTATTTTTGTTCCTGTTCCTGGAGCAGTGGCTACAAGACAATACGTGTATAAATAAGTATATAGACTGCTTGCAGATGTTAAAAAAACCAAAAACCCCATGCTTTACCAGAAAAAGCAGTGCATTCAACCCAGCTCTGCAGCATCTGTAAAGATCAAGCATTTCAGCAGCATTTTTGGCACTTCTAGCTAAAGTTGATTCAATTAGCTATTAGATAAAAGTGCCAAAAAAGCCCCACTAAAGCACCCAATCTTTACAGATGTTGGGTGAGCCAGGTTGAAGTAACACGCTGCCTCTTCCAGGCATACACAGGGCTTGGTGCAGGAATTTGCCGAGTTTAAAGTAAAGAGCCACTACATCCAAAACTACTTCCCAAACCTTGAACCTTGTCTAGCCAGGTCACTTAATAAAGGCATGAGATCACTGCATACCAGCTGTTCATCATGAACTTCCCAGGTGGAGATTCTTTGACAATTAATTGCAATGTAAAAATGGAAGCAATATCTTGCAATTATTGTGTTAAGTGTCTACTCAGGAAATTAGTGCAATATAGCCTTACATCATGGTAACTATCCTGTGTAGATAAGTCCTCTGTGTGCCAGACACTAGTCGTAAAGTACTATACTTATTACTAAACAGGAAAGATTATAAAAAGCATGAAGTGACATATCGTCCTTGGTGAGGCAGAGGAGTAGACTTCCAGAGGTATGGGGGTTACATTAATAGCATATAGTGTGTGCTTTTCTCCACTGATCCTAACCGTATAAATCATATATTTATACTATTATAAGGGAGGATAAGGGAGGCATCAGCCTTAGGCACCAGCTTACAGGTGGAGAGGGCACCAGTATTGCCCTCTCCACCTCCTAGGACTCTTTTCCATTGCAGGGGAAGCCCTGTGGAGCCCAGCCACAAGGAGCAGGGCATGTGCAGACCCACGTCCCACAGTGTTTCTCTGGGAGAGAGGTGGGTAAGTGAGGTGAGTGGAATATTGTTTCCTTCCCAGGCTTTACTATGGGAAGTGCAGTCCTGCGCCCAGGATTATAGCAGGGATGGGGGAGGGGGAATGAACAGGGCACCAGGAGGGACCCCAAGGAGTCTGTGCTTGCCAGCCCATCCCTCAACTATAGCAGTCAAGCTTATGCTGCTACAGCAGGAGTTGTAGCAGTTGCTTCCCAAGTACAGAAAGCAGGTGCAGGTAAGATTCTGCTTGCCCTCTGCCTTCCCCTCCCTCCTGCTCTCCAGGGGTCAGCATAATTCCCTCTACCCCTTGCAACCTCTGCTCCAAGTGCTAAAATATCTTGCTACACCTGTGACTAATTCATTAAGTGAAAGGTAATTAATGATGACTTGCAAAGTATTCAAGCTTAAAATACATGACTAATTGCAAACATTTTATAGATGGGAAAATGAAGGCACTAGAAGCTGACTGCCTTCCCCAGGTTCATGTAGCAGTTGACTACATGAGCTACGGTTGCAAAACACAGTAAAAGGGAAGTCAGGATATTAGTTGTATTTGTCAAGTTAGACAAGAAGAGGGAAAGTGTGGATGCGTTGTGAGTACCAGAAGGCTGAGTGCCTTTTAGATGATTCCCTGGGATAGATTAGCATTTAAGGCTGTTTCAGCATTTGTCCCTTGCATTTCTCATGTGTTTTCATCTTGGTCTCTGCTCTGCATATTGGTGACACGTCACATTCATAGCTGATGATGAGAAAGGAAAAACTACAAGAGAAAAAGCTTGGCAATGGTTCTTACTTTTGTTTTGTGTTTATAGTGCATATAAATTGTACAGATTGCTTTTTCTTTATATATTTCTAGTGTCAAAAACATCAGTAGCCGTACACATACTGTTTTAATTAGTATTGGTTTATTCCAGCCAAGCTCACCCCATCTGTTGCTTCCAGGAAATTGATTGAGCAAATAGCTATTATTTATCATCCTGTACAGAAGGAACCATGCTGCAATTCCGAAGAAGTCAATCTTTATTTTAATTTGTCAGAGTATTAATCCAGCACAATTTCTGCAGCTATTAACGCATAGTTCTGAACTAGGTTAAAATGGTATTTGTGGCTTATAGGAGAATGTGCACAGAAAGCACATTTCAACTCATTAGAAATCAGTGTAATATGCTCATGTGTGCTGGCAACTGTAAGTCCATTTCTGTTTTGACTTCCACAGAAGTTCAGGGCATATAAGTTAATGCAGTCTCAGGGAAAAGAAATATTCACTTCTCCATTTTGAGGGCTCCTGTTGAACTCTGGAACAAAAGCTGGTGGGGGAAACCTTCTGTCCAAATGACATGTTAGCAGAATATGCACACACCCAAAGTTTTCTGTGTGAAAAATTCAGATTTCACTCTATTTTTTTCTCTCTTTCATTGGCGAAAACCTACATGAAATTGTTTGTTTTGGGTAGATGCAACTTGAGTGGAAGCACCATATTTCAATGTACTCAGCTGGAACATTTAGTTTCAAGTCAGTACCACACTGAAACTGCACTTACCTGTGGTACTACAGTGCTTCATAGAAGATGTGAATTGAAGGCCTCCTGACCCAGTTTCTCTTTTACAGAATGGGCATCTTGGCAGAAGGATATATCACAGTTTCACTTCTGACTAAACTGGAGTGTTGGTATGTTACTGGTATGTTATTGAAATTGCATGGCTGTGGGTTATTTTGGGAGATGTTATTTGGCCAATGACTTTGGCTTGTAGGGAAGCCTATTAGAGTAACAGAAGGCACCCCAGCTACAACTCTGATGAGGTAGCAGAAACCAGAGGCAGATAGAGGTTAATGGAGAAGAGACTAAAATGTAGTTCAACACTGAAGTGAAATGATTCAATATATCTGAACTGATTTTTAAATATATATTTGATGGAAAATTTTGGTATTTTGATTATTCAACCTAATTCAAGAAGAAGATAAGTCCTAAAATGTAGGAATTTCCTATGGGAAAGAAATTAGGAGTTTCAGTCAACCTCTGTCAAAACTCCATGTAACCTAACCCACAATCCTTCTACTTTCTCCTCCTCCGATTCCGTTTTGATACGGGTCGATGTATAACGCTCATTGACATAGAGCACAACCCTTCCCCCTCTCTTCCCCACTCTATCCTTTCTGTACAGCTTGTAACCCTCAATGTGTACCGCCCAGTCGTGGGAAGAATCCCACCAGGTTTCTGTTAGCCCTACTAAGTCGTAGGTGTTTTCTGCAAGCAGGAGTGCTAGTTCATCCTGCTTGCTCCCCATGCTCCTAGCATTAGTGTATAGGACTCCAGAAGGTATACAGAGGCTCCTGCCTTGTACCTCCCACAAGGCAGGCGCCTCTTTGGCACACGGATGGTGCATGGGGCGGAGAGCTGATGAGATGCCACAGCTGCATGAGGCACCACAGATCCCCATCCCTGCATGAGGCAGGTGCCCCTTCGGTGCATGGGGCAGAGAACTGAGTGGAGCTGACCAGATGCCAGGACTGCATGAAGCAGCATGGATCCCCTACCCTGCACAAGGCAGGTGCCCTTTTTGGTGCACAGGGTTGAGAAAGGGCTGACAGGTCTGGTGGCTTTGCAAGACAGCTCAGGCCTTCCTGCAGCAAGTGGCAACTGGATGGGCCTACCACCCTAGCGAGAGAGGACATTCTGCATCCAACCCAGATAGAGATGAGCCTAACCCACCAAAGCTGCTGGAGTCATGACTTACCTGGGAAGGGGATTTCCACAGGGGAGGAGGGGCCCTCCCCTTTTCGGTTGATCAAAGGGAAGTCCCTGATAGGAAGGGGGGCAATTCGCCCTTGGGTGTAGAGAGGAATCTAAGGTCCCCTGTTTATTAAGCGGGGGTTCATGATTATGGGTCCCCTCCTAGTCGGATGATCTAGGAGAGGGTGATGGTGTTCCTTTAGGTAATGGGATCCTTCCCCTGGTACCATTCCTTCTTTGGGCACAGCTGCTGTGCCATAGTTGTGTTCTGGTTCCTCGTGTTGTTGGGATTCTGTTGTTGTATTATGAGAGGATTGAAAGCTGTTCTATTTAGTCTACTAGCAGGGTCTGTTAATGCAGCCTCGACTCTATATCTGAATTCATTTTATTGGTTATCTTTATGCATTTGTATCTCATTTGATATAATCTCACTGTGTATGTTCAGTTATTGTCCCATCACTGCCAGATTTTCCTTTGTTGATTTGCTGTCTAACCTGTGTTTTATCATTGAGTGTTCCCTTGCCTGCTGCCTGGAGGGCCCTGTCGAGGGCAGGGACTAGGCCTGTACCTGGGTTCAGGGTTAATAAGAGTTATTGTCTTTGTAAACCTATATTGGTAAATAACACACACACGTGTGTGTGTGTGTGTGTGTGTGTGTGTGTGTGTGTCTATATCCTTACTATATATCCTATATGTGTGTGTGTGTCTATATATATATATATATATATAGACCCAGTGAGGCTCAACTATTTACAGGTTTAATTGTACAAAATTATATAAAACTTATAAACATATACATGTATGTATGTATGTATGTATATATATACATACATGTATGTGTGTGTGTGTGTCTATATATATATATAGACACACATATATCAATGATATATATATATATATATCGATATATATCTCTATATATCTCTATAGAGATATATAGAGATATATATATATATATATAGAGACACACACACATATATGTATATATATACATACATGTATATGTTTATAAGTTTTATATAATTTTGTACAATGAAACCTGTAAATAGTTGAGCCTCTCTGGGTGTCCTTGGTCTCTGCTCTGCTCTGCTCTGCTCTGTAGGGGAAAGAGGTGAGCTGGCCTGCAGCTAGGCAGTCACACTCCCACAGCATACACACACCCACTGACATCCCTTTCACTGAAGATGGGGTACCAGCTGTGTATCAACTGGGTTACACTACTATACATTTCCTTGACAGACCAGATTTAAATTTCTAATATACACAACAAACTGGATCTCCATTCCTTTCTTCATGCTTCCACACCCTTTCTCTCACAGAAGTGCATCTCATTCCCTTTTAACATGTTATAAAGTAAATAAAAAAAATACAAGCCCACTTTTCAGTCCTCTTTTGGTACAGGTCACACTTAAAGAGACTAGGGCCAGTATTAAGCCCTCTTAAAGTATTGAGCTTTCTTTCTCTTAAAAAAAAATCTTTCACAATAAAATTTTCCCAACATTTCCTTTTCATAATTCTAGACAAAAATACTGTGGGAAGTCTACAAGACTGATTATTCTGTTATCCAAACATCTCCATAAAAACATTGAGAGACTGTCACAAAGCAAAAGTACATCCAAGTTAATCAAAAACTATTCACAGATCCTGATATAAATGCGTGTTGAATTTGCACTTAAAATTCCAGTATATTAAAACCTCATGCTAATACACTGATTATTTATGCAAGTGTACTGATGCTACAGATAGCAATCCTTACTAAAGGACTCAGTCTGATAATTACTCTAACATATGAAAGAGAGGAAATTTCCCATTGTCTTGACGGGTCATATTTTATAGGCCATAGCTGCAGAAATGCTTTTCTTATTCTCCTTTTGAATGATTTGCCTTCCCACAGAGTTACTAACAATAAAGTAATGCTTTTCTGATAAGGAATGTGGTTGACTAGAGTTTGGTTCTTTATTGAGAAAGAGTTTGTAAAACCATATTAGAATCTTTACAGTTCAGGGACCCAGTATGCCTACCTATGCCAATTCACGACCCCATTTCATAAATAGCTCTAAGTAGTAGCTATTTCAATGATAAACAATACATCATCATGATGAAATATCTATGCTTGGGAACCCAAAATCTTCTGTTTTCTAAGCTGGGATATGAAGATGTTGCATCAGTGAGTCACTAGATTCAAATTTATAAAGACTAAGCAGAAGCAGAGAAAGAAACAGTGGACTGTTTAAAAAAACTGTTGAAGGGAACACCACCCTTGCAATAGCCCTCTAAAAATTATCTGTATTTCATAATTGGATCAAGTCACTTCCTCAACTGACTTCCTTGAGGGGAAAAATAATCTTCTTAATGCCAAGGAGATCCAGATTCTATTGTCAACTCTGCCACAGACTTGTGGTACCTTAGGCAAATCACTTAACCTTTCATTGAACAGTTTCCTCATCTATAAAAAATGCCGCTCAGATGTTTGTTGTGAGGATAAATTCATTAGTGTTTTTGAAGCACTCAGCTACTTTGGTGAAGAGTGCCACAAGACAAGGCCATAAAAATAGATTTATGGGCAGCTGATCACGGATCATTTTACTTTGCATAAAGCTAGAATTTGGCAGCTTGCTTTTGCATAGCTCTGTTTTAACTTATTTTCTTTATGTAGTCTATGAATTATTTTATAAGTGTTAGGATCAAGCTAAGCTTGCTCCTACCCAGGTACTGGGACAAGAAGGTACAAAGCTCTACTAAACCACCTTGTGGAGAATAAATCACAAGCCTGTCCTTACTTCCAGTGGGATAACAGTGGAGCCATATCTCTCATTCCTCTACACGAAGGAATGAAGTTCAGGAAACCATATATCACTGACATACCTGCTGGGTGCTGGTCATTAATTTGTGCTCTTTGTGATATATAGAGATATACCTGAAAGCTTTAGAACATTACCCTCAGCAATGTCTTTGGAAAATCCTCCATATCAACTGGAAGGGCAGAAGAATGAAGGCTAGTGTTCTGGCTCAAATAAACACCACCAGCATCGAAACCATGTTTATATGGCACCAGCTCCATTGGACAGGACATGTCATAAGGATGCCTGACAGGTGGCTCTCAAAACAGGCCCTGTACTCCCAACTCATCTATGATCACTGCTTTAGAGATTGGAAAAAGAAGAGCTTTAAGGACACCTGGAAGGACAATTTAAAGAAATGAAATAGTAACATCAATACCTGGGAGGCTCAAGCACTCAATAACACCCCCTGGCACCATTACGTATGACAAGACATTGATCATTTTGAACAAGCTCACCTCACTATGGAGGCAGATTGATAAAAGAGAGAAAGG